AAGCATCCCAAACAAATAATTGTGTTTAATCTGTATTTAGCATCCAGTGACATAACACAGAGCTGCTGGTAGTATTTGCCTTGCCTTTTTTTATATTCTGCCTTCCAAGAACAAGGCTCATTTTTCATTTGGGGATGTCTTGTTGGGGAAAATACCATAACTTGCTTTATTTGTCAATAGCTTATTTAAGAATATGAGAGAAATGCCATTCTGAGCTGTACTCAGCAATATGAAGTTGTTACTTCTGTTACGTGTTCAGTGACTCTAAAATAGCACTGGCAATCAATACAAGGTTTTGCTTTAATTCCAAACTGAGGACTGTTTTGTTTCTCTACACAATGATCTTTCCAAGGGCTTAGCTGATGAGTTTTGTGCCCTGGACAAAATCTCTGTGCATCCCAGTGGGTGGAAGGGAGTGAAGACGAAAGGTGCTAAGTGCTGGAAAGCAGGATTGGGGGATGAGGGAAGGGTGTATCCCTACAGTACGTACAATGTGTATCCCTATGTTTGGCTTTTCCAGCTGGGTCACGAAGGACTGATCCAGGCCAGCTCTTATGGCCAGATAGAGCAGGGCTGTTTCTGCTGTCAGAGGCTGGGGAGGTGGGTACCACAGTTGCCCCCATCCTCCCTCCCCGCAAACTATACTACCGGATCTTTCTTAAAACGCAGAGGAATGTGGTTTTTTTAATGTAGTGCTTTTATGGTCAGATTTTCAGTCTTTCCACAAACTTAATTTTGGTGTGTGTTTGGTTTCTATTTACTCAAAATAAAAATTGGGTGCTTGCTTGTCCAGAGTGTTGATAAGACTTAAATTCATAAAGCATTCTGATCCTCCAACCAAGGTGTTGAGTAGAATCACATTATGTACGTATAGCACAGTATAACATAGGAATTACCCTAGGGCAGTTGTTGCTCAACCTCCTGGCCCTGTGGGCCAGATGAGGAGGAGAGCCAATCCAGGGGCTAGACATTGTGTGGCGTTGGCCTGCAGGGTCAGTCCACAGGTATGATCCAGCGTACCAGCCTGGCCTTGGAAGCCAGACCCTGCACACCGGCCTGACTCCTCACATTGGATCCAGCCAGGGAGCTGTCCTGTGCACCAATGCCAAGGCTATGTCATTCAATAGAGAGCTCTCCATGTGTCTGGAACCTGGGTGGGAGAGGAACAAGGGTAGTGTTAGTTGCCACCACTTCCAGAGCTGAGCTGTGGCAATTAATGCTATCACTGCTTCTTTGCCCTCAAATTTCTGGCCCTGTGAGGTGCCTCATGGGCCAGATGTTGAACACCACTGGAAATAGGGAGTCCATTTCAAAATCACGAATAGCTAGCAGTTGTATTGTCTTAATGTTTGTAGTTTTGTTATAGGAGATATCACTTGCTTACAAGCAAATGCATATGATCAGTAATTGAATTTTGTGACTTTCACTATTGCAGGTTGGACACCCCTGCATGAAGCTTGCAATGTTGGTTATTATGATGTTGCTAAAGTCTTAATAACAGCAGGGGCTGATGTGAACACACAAGGATTGGATGATGATACTCCACTTCATGACTCTGCAAGTAGTGGACATAGGAACGTAAGTACATAATAATAATAATCTGTAAATTAAAGTTTTGAATTGAGCAAGAAAACACATTCTGAACATCCCAAAGTGTCTATATAACCCTGATTCTGCTCTTCTTGGGTCATCTGTTGTCTGGCTTTAGTCCCTTTGTTCCACTGGCAGAACTCCTCTTGTCCAGTCTTTTATCTTAATGTCTTTCAAAAACTAGAAACCCTCTAAAGGCTATAGAATGGAAATCCCGCCCCTCAAGACTTTCTACTCTGTTTCTCAAGAGAAAAGTATTTCCAAATTATGTTGTAGCTTCTGCAGGATACCATGGTTTTTTTTGCATACAGTATAAACCCTCACTCCCCCGCTCCAAAAAAACGCAGCTGCTGGAAGTTGGGGTGTGCATTATAAACAAGAAAATATGTTGACAGCAGCTTCTGCCCCTTAAGCTTCTGCCAGGCCAAAGTGAAAGTAACTCAGCACATGATCCATAGGGAGCGGAAAAATCGGCAGGCTCAGCACTCTAGCTGCTGCTACTTATTTACTTACTACAAGGAAATCCTTTTTTGGTTGTTTTTTTTTTCATTCTGCCTTTCAGAAACCAGGTGTGTATCTAATTCTGGGTGTGTCGTATGCAAGAAAATATAATATTTTAATTCATACTTCTATATCTGTATTAATATAATTAAATAAAACGGGGTGCTTGATACCAGGTCTTAGGGAAGGAAACTGAGGGTGATCCTGTACATTTATAGCCATTTGTTTTCTTCGTTTTTTATTTGTGGTTTTATTTCTGTTTTAGATTTCTTCAAACTGGCTGTTCCTGTCTTTGATTTCTTCTCTTTGAAAATTATTTTAGGTACTACAGTGTATCTGGTGTATTGTGGAAGATGCAAAATAGAAATATTGCTTACATCAAGAAAGTTATTTTCTAAATAAGTCACCAAACTGAGAGAGTACTTTTGCAAGTGTAAAGAGGCAAATCATGAGGGTGTTGTTGCCATATAGTAATAATGAAGGAAGGTGGTGGATATGTCTAATGAATTAATAAATAAAATAAACAGTTGTCTTATTCCTTATTGGTGTCATGGCAGAAGTGGATTTTCATAATGGAACTGAATGAAGAACAGTGCCTTAGAAAGGAGAAATGGGAAACTTTGCGGTTATGGGTTGGATGGATGCTATGTTGTTTAATACAATGGTCATAAAAGAAGCATACCCCAAACCCATTTGCAGTTTCTTTTCAACTTGTGACTAACAATAAATTGCATAATTTGGAGTTGCAGCAAAAATGTAAACAAACACAAGTGACTAGGGGTGTTTAGTTGAAGATACAAGGATTTGTGGTGATTGCTGTGATTATTTGCTTACTGTGGATGCTTTCATTTCAAATGTGGGTGGCTGTGAAAGCTAGTTACACTACTGTTGCTTGAAGTGTCACTTCTTTTTAAGCAGTAAGTGCTGTGAAGGTGGAACAGCTGCAGAAAAGTAGGGCACATTGAATCTGGGTTGTGTAAGTGAGGGGTTGAAGCAAAGGGTCAGGAAGGAAGAAGAGTCCATTTATTTTCTCTTCCTATTGCTGTGTTTAAATAAATGCAGATACTTTAATAATATGGGTTTTTTGGAAAGGGAAAGAGGGTTCCCCCCAGCTTATGGGTTATAGCCTGCTTTGGGGTTGCATTCCCACCTGTTGAAGTTTTGTTCTGCAGCCTCAGCTTCCATAGATAAAAAGTTGGAGCACATTGTTAAGTCACGACAATACATGTGTCCCAAATCAAATTACAGCTTGCATTACAGAAGTCAAAATATATAAGAACACAGGCATAGAAGAATGCATTCAAATATTAATCTATTTACTGCATATATTTTCTGATGGGTAATTTTGAAGCTCTTGCAAAATATAAATGACATTCTCATGTATTATTGCAGATTGTGAAGCTGCTGCTTCGACATGGTGGAAATCCTTTTCAAGCCAACAAACATGGAGAGAGACCGGTCGATGTAGCTGAAACAGAAGAGTTGGAAATGCTATTAAAAAGGGAGGTGCCTATTTCTGATGATGAAGACAGTTGCTCAGGTTAGAGAGCAGATTTTAATTGCACAGTTCTAGCAACAAATGATTTCTCCTTTTTATTTTAAGACCCTATTTTCTGTTGTATAATTGCCGGACATCACAATTTGAGATTAATTTAGAGGTGCAGCAATACGAGTAATACCAATATGATTGGTCAGTGGCTTTAGAGGGTTACACCTTGTATAGGAAAGACCATGTGGGGAGGAGTGGTAGGGGTACTGCTCTCTACATCAAGGATCAGTTCACCTCCCTGCAGATTGAGTTTTCTAACCAGGAGGGGTGTCTTGAGACCCTCTGGGTCAAAATACGAGAAGAACGTGGGGATGGTGACATACTTGTAGGAGTCTAATATAGACTTCCTCACCAAGAGGAAGATCTAGATCGGGAATTCAATAGGGAACTGGTCAAAGCCGCACGCTTCTGATGCATGATTGTCATGGGGCATTTCAAATTCCCTGACATCCCTTGGGATGAGCGCACGGCCAAATCTGACAGGTCCTGTAGCTTTCTCACTTGCATTGATGACCTCTAGCTAATGCAGGAGGTCTATGGGCCAACTAGGGGAGAGTCATTGCTTGATCTGGTCCTGGCCAAAGGGGAGGGCCTGGTGAGCAATGTGAGGATCGAGGGGAAGCTTGGTGACAGCGACCATGAATTGGTCACCTTCTTAGTTCGCTGAAGAGCAGGCAAACCCCTCAGCAAAACAGAAGTCCTTAACTTTGGGAAGGCTGACTTTTGCAAATTGAGAGAATTGGTCAGTCAGGCAATTAGAGGCCATACTCCCCTAGCAAAGGGAGTACATGAGGAATGGTCATCCCTCAGAAACATAATCCTAGAAGCACAGGGGAAAGCTATTCCATCTTGTAAGAAATGTAGTCAATGGGCACAGAAGCCCCCTTGGCTAAATAAGGAACTGTTGGACCTCATTAAACTCAGAAGAGAAGCCTACACCAACTGGAAAACAGGAAGCATCACCAAAGAAGATTACTCAGTACTTGCCCGCACCTGTAGAGAGTGGTTGAGGAAAAGCCAAGGCACAAACTGAACTCAGGCTAGTTATGGGAATCAAGGACAACAAAAAGTCCTTCTTCAGATGTGTGGGAAGTCAAAAAAAAAAAAAAAAAAAAGAACAAAGATAGCATTGGGCCCCTGCAAGATCCAACGGGGCAACTGACATCCAATGCCCAAGAAAAGGCCAGTCACCTAAATGACTTTTTTGCATCAGTTTTTCACTCTCCCAGGAGGATCACACTGTCAGGAAGGACGCAAACTATTCCAGGCACAGGTGACAGGCCCCAAATCATTGTGGATCAGGTGAGGGAACACCTCGAGAAGATGGACATTCACAAGTCCGTGGGCCCAGACAGAATGCACCCAAGAGTCTTAAAGGAGCTGGCAAACATCATTGCATCCCCCTTGCCAGAGATATTAAAATTCGTGGAACTCAGGCAAGGACCCGGATGACTGGAAAAGAGCCAGTGTGGTCCCTATCTTCAAGAAAGGGAGGAGGTATGACCTGGGGAATTATAGACCTATCAGGCTGACGTCCATCCCTGGAAAAATCCTGGAGAAAATCATCAACACCAGACTAACGGAAGGCAAGCATCTGAATGCCAGCCAACGTGGCGTTGTGACTGGCAGGTCTTGCCTAACCAAACTCATCTCCTTCTGTGACCAGATAACATGTGCCCTAGACAAGGAAGATGACGTGGACATCATGTATCTAGAGTTCAAGAAAGCCTTTGACTTAGTTCCCCATGAAGTCCTCATGGTTGAGCTGGGGAACTGAGACATTAATCATCATATGGTCCAGTCCAGTGGCTAGGCAACTGGCTGCGGGGTCAGACCCAAAGAGTACTGCTTGATGGAAGCAAATCAGCATGGTGCAAGGTGACCAGTGAAGTCCCTCAGGGCTCGGTATTTGGGCTCTTTAACATCTTCATTAACAATCTGGATTTGGGAGTGGGATGCGAACTGGCCAAGTTTGTGAATGATACCAAATTATGGGGGAGGGTGGTCACACCTGAGGACAAACTGGGGATACAGGCTGATTTGGACACGCTCTCAAGGTGGGCTGACCTAAACCTGATAGCCTTCAATATACAGACGTGTAAGGTGCTACACCTCAGTAGGAAGAACCCTCAACATACTTACAGGCTCTGCAGTGCTACACTCGCTAGCACCACGACCAAAAAGGACTTGGGGGTTTTGATCGACCACAAGATGAATATGAGCCAGCAATGTGATGCTGTGGCTGGCAAAGTAAACCAGACTCTGGCATGCATACAGCAGTGCATCTCAAGCAAAACCAGGGAAGTCATTCTCCCACTTTACTTGCCCCTGGTGAGACCACAGCTGGAGTACTGCGTACGGTTATTGGGCCCCCCACTTCAGAAAGGATGTGGAGAAGCTTGAAAGAGTCCAGAGGAGAGCCACTTGTATGATCCAAGGCCTGGAGGGAAGGCTGTATGAGAGGCTTGGGGCTCTTCAGTCTGGAGAAGAGAAGGCTCAGGGGGGACTTGGTAGCAGCCCACAATTACATAAGAGGAGTGCATCAGGACCTGGGAGAACAGCTGTTCACCAGAGCTCCCCAAGGGATAACAAAGTCTAACGGCCATAAACTCCAGGAAGGCCAATTTAGACTAGACATAAGAAAAAGTTCTTTATGGTGTGAATGTCCAGGATCTGGAACAAACTCCCCCCAGAGGTGGTGCAAGCACCTACTCTGGACTCTTTCAGAAAACAGGTGGATGTATTTCTTGCTGGGGTCACTTGATCCCAGCTGACTTCCTGCCTATGGTAAGGGGGCTGAACTCTATCTCACGAGGTCCCTTCCAGCTCCTAATGTCTATGAAATAAATCGGTCCCGTATCAGATCAGTACCAATATGAGGAAAATTGAGAGTATAGGCAATCAGCTTTTTTTTGCCTAATGTGGCCAATAATGTGGCTAATAAATACCCCATGCATGCGCACAGCTGCAGCATGCATGCAGCCAGGAGCTCAGCCCTGCAGCTTGGAGAGCAGCATCGGCTGGTAAACCTGTTGTGGGGGGAGCAGATCAAGGTCTCCATAATGAGGGAGGGACTGGGGCTGGGGCAGGTGATGCTCAGCCAGGGCAGGGAGGGGCACGGGACAGAGCCCCAAGTGGCTTGCCCGGCCAGCACAGGGGATGGGGTGGTGGCTCCTGCTACTGCGTGCACCCTGGGAGGGCATGGGTGGGCATGTGCCCTTGGATCTGTGTGGGGCAGGGTGGGCTGCTGATATGGGCTGGAGCCAGGGCAGCGCCAAGCTCTTCCCAGCGGGGGGTTGGCCCGGGATGTGCTCAGGACAGGCAGCAGTGGCACTGGGAGTGAGGTTATGGGGGTGGGGGGAGACCTATGGCAAATTTTGGGGTGGCTGCAGCCCCCCCCGCCATAGTCCCTCTCCCAGAACCATCACCACCTGCCCTGAGCACAGCTTGACCCAGCCCCCCTGTGTCCTGCACCCTGCCCCACCCTGACTGAGCAGCATCTGCCCCACCTCACTCCCTCACTGCAGGGGCCTCAATCTGCCCCCTGCCATGCCCCTTCCTTCCCCCTATTCCTTCTTCCATACCAGACTTACCAGCCTGATGCTGGTTTTGAAGCTGCCTGGCTGCATATAGGAATCGGATTGGTATCAGCCAGTATGGCTCTTTGAAAAACAGCCATCGGTATTGGCCCAAAAAATCTGTATCTGTGCACTTCTATTAATTATTCCATGTTGTATGTCTACACTTCAGGGGCGGGCCATTATTTTGGGCAGAGGGCCGCTTACTGAGTTTTGGCAGGCCATCGAGAGCCACGTGACAGGCAGCTCAGGGCAGATTAATATTAATTTTCTAAATTTTTTAGGGGCCCCGTGGGCTGAATAGAATGGCCAGGTGGGCAGTATCCAGCCCCCAGGCCGCATTTTGCCCACCCCTGCTACATGTGCTTTTTTTTTTTTTTAATGGTTTGGTTGTTTCTCTTAGCAAGGTAGAGGAAACTATATTTTTGTCCATGCTTAAAAAAAAAAAAAAAAAGACCCTATGCCTAATAACATTGAGCAAACCTAATGCCCCTGTGCTTTCAAGAGGCTTGAAATGTGGTCTTTAGTCACACTGGTGACAAGAATATGCCTTGTGCAAGCTCTGAACAAATAACTTTCTAAGTTAGAAAGAACCATTTGAGGATTAAATGGTGGTGTAAAATGTTGAATGTATGTAACAAGGTCTTGGCCCAAAGGGTGGCTGTGATGCCCCATGGTGACCTAGTGACTCCTACCCCCCTCTGGCTCCTTAGAGTACCCTTCCTCTTTAACCAAGCCTGCCATGCCTTGGTGCATCTTAAATAGTATAAGGAGGCTGTCCCATGGTCCCAAAGTGAGACCCAAGTCCTCAACCAGTCAGCCTCAGGTTTGCCCTTTAGGGCACTAAACTGTAGCAGACTTGACCCTGCAGTATCTTGGGGCACCAGGCACCTTTTGGGCTGCATTTGTGGCCTCCGTCCTCCCCTGTAGTCATGCCCATGCTTTGCAGACAGTAATTGAACACTTTGGAGGGTCCCCTTGGCCTTACCACAACACTTGGTCCCCTCAGACCTCAAACCTTTGCGGGGGTTTCAGCATTCCTGGCTTCGGAACCTTTTTCTCTGGTTGTGTGCCCCTCAACGTAGGTCCACTGCCCCAGACCTTGGCTTCTGGGGCCTGGCTCTGGTCTCACCCTTCTCAGGCCCTGGCCCTTGTCTCACACTTCTCTGGCCCTGGGGCACACTGGAGTCCTGGACCCAGACAAGGCTGCTCTTTTTTCTCAGCGCCCTGGGGTCCCTGCCTTGAGCAAGGCTGATTGCATAGCACCCAGCCCCTTGGGACCCTCACTCAAGAAAGGCTGTTCTCTTGCTGCCAAGCCATCCCTCTTATGGTCCCAGACCTCTACAAGGCTCTATGCAGGGTGCTTTTGAGGTGCCCCTATGGCCTCCATGCTGCCCCCATAGCCACATTCTGGTCTTCCGGAATCAACTTAAAACACAACACAAATACAAATAACCACTTCTAACAAAAAGTCTCCCACACTCTGGGTTTATGCCACCCTGCAAGCCCTACCTCCCTTTGGGCTCTCACCTCCCAGCAGTCATGAGTGATTGGGTGCTTGCCAGACTGGTTCTTTCAGCCCTGGGCTTATATGCCTCTAAGCCCCACTCCTTTCAGTCATGTGGCTCCCCCAGCCACACACCTGGGTTTCCCCTTTGCCTAATGACCAGCCTGTGCTCCTCTGCTGCAGCCTCACATAGCAGGCATGGCCTCCTGCACTCCTTACTTAAAGTGACAGGGGCATCTGGCTCCTTGTCACAATGCATTACTGAGATTTATGGGTTTTGAAAGTAATTTGTTACCAGAGTACTATATTATACTTTCCAAGTCTCAGGGAAAATGATAGTAATCAAGACCTGGATTTTTCATATACAAATGTTTTGCACCATGCTTAATTTGCAGTGGGTCATTGAATTAAGAATGAGACACTTAGCTATTGGCTGCTACTTTACAAAGAGTGTCTCACTTGGCTTTTAATAGAGGGTGAGCTCCAGTCAGCTGGAGTTCATCAGTGGTCCTGCACAGCTGATTAGAGAAGTGGTGCCCTTTGAAGTAAAGGCTTCTGCAAACAGCTGATTGATATATATCCACAGGAGACCTGCTCTTACAGTATATAATTCCAGATAGTTTTCAAGCTCTTGTATTTGTAGAGGAATTAGGAACCTAACCATGGAAAAGAATCCAGGTTATACTGTATACTGGAATTGAGTATTTGATTCATATTCCCAGAAATTAACATTCCTAGATGGACACGGGTGTCTCTTGTAGGAAGAGAGGAGTGAAAAAATGCAGTATATAATTGGGTGGCAAGATAATAGTGGCTTTAAGACCTTGCATTTAAGTGGCCAATAATTGCTTTAAGTCATTTCTCTTTCATTTCGATGTATTAGAAATGAAAGAGAAATGACTTAAAGCAGTGTTTTGATAAATTATATAATTAGCTATGTATTTTAGTTGATAGTCACATAAAGAATCTGATATATTTTCCACTATGGATTTTTGTCAGTTTATTTTAATTGCTTTTGTTTAAATGCAGTTATTTCAGCAAGACTTAAGGAAGTCTTTCAACTGTAGATGTTTTAGCCATTTGAGATCCCTCTAATTAATTACTTTCTCCATTTTATCCAAAACTAGCTTCTTTAATTTTGGGGGTCTTTTGAGACACCAAGTGTGAACCTTAGTTTTAAGACTTAGTTACGTCAGTGGACATTCCTACATTGTAATATATTTAACTTATATAAAAGTAACTGACAAGATGTTTATATAATAAGCATTCCTTTAAGATGGTTCTCTCTTGTCTCTACCTCCATGCCATAGTTTTTGTGTTCTGTTGCTGCATTATTTCTAACTTAGATTATAAACTTCCTGGAAAAGCACTTGTCATTTCTTTAATGTACATATAAAGTATGAACCTACAGCATAAAAGGAATAGAATGTTAAAATTCTCTTCACACCAGGTAGGCTGTTGTGAAATAAAATTTAACTTGGGCTTTATGGAGAGCATCAACGTCGCAGGATTTTAGAACTAATGTCAAAAACTTTTTATGATTTTCAGTTACTGGTTTTCATAAGTTAACATCTATCGTACACTAAAAATGAATATATGGGGCAGTTAAAACATTTGCACATAGTTCAACCCTTCAGATAACAGCAGCCTCTGAATTATTAGCCTGTACATTTATACTGCAGTGACTGGTTGTGCCAAGTCATGATATGATGAGTGATGGGATAGATAGGTACTCAGAGTTCCAGTGGATAATTCTCTCAAAAAAGCTCCCTATTCCCATTGATGCTTTTTGAGAAAAATCTCAACAGCTGGTGAGAGAGGTTATTGGCCTGAACCTGCACAATTAGGTGGGATTTGATAGCAGTCTTTAACTAGCTGAAGGTTAATTCCAAGGAGGATGCAGTTAGACTGTTTTGAGTGGTGGTAGATGATGGAACAAGGAGCAATGGTATCAAGTTGCAGAAGGGAGGTTTAGGTTGGATATTAGGAAAAATTTTATCGCTAGGAAGGTGGTGAACCACTGGAATGGGTTACCTAGAGAGGTGGTGGGATCTCCATCCTTGAAGGTTTTTAAGGCCTGACTCAAAGCCCTGGCTGGAATGATCTAGTTGGGGGTGGTCGGCTTTGAGCAGGGGATTGGAGTGGATGAACTCCTGAATTCCCTTCCAACCTTAATTTTCTATGATTCTATGATCCAGTTGCAGAGCAACCCACACCAGCCCATCTTAACACACAGGGCCACATGTGGCCCACAGGGCTCCCCATGGGTCCAGAAATTTGACAGCAGAGGAGTGGCAGTTAACTCTGCCACTACTTCCCACCACCAAATTTCTGGCCCTGTGGGTTGAATGACATTAAATGACATGGCCCTTGCAGGCCTTATGAAACCTGCGTGCTGGAGACAAAGCAGCACTGAACTAGACCGGTGATGGCAAACACCTAGTTTAAAACCCTTGGCCTAGAGTAGTACATTGTGTGACAGCACTGAAATAATTATGGTGAAGTCTTAAGTGGTGTTTCGTTTTTCCTTTTAATAATACTGTTATTTATCTGTAAACTGAAATATTTTGTCCTTAACTAAAATGTGAAGGTTTTTTTTCTCTTCAGTCTCTCAACCTTGTTTGTTTTTGTGTTCTCAATCTAGATTCTGAAGAAGCTCCATCTGTAAATCCTTCCAGTGTAGAGGGGAATGCTGATTCAGAAGTAGAGAAAGAATCTCTAGTCAATGACAACAAACAGATGGTCCCTAGTAAGGCACCAGTTTCATCTGCTCTTGATGAATATGAGTTTAAAGATGATGATGAAGATGAACTTAAAAAAATGATTGATGACAGACATATTCTTAGAAAGGATCTAAGGAAAGAGGATGAGTCTGAAGTAGAAAAGAATAATTTATTTGTAAAACAAGAAAAAGGTGTTTTTCCAAAATTTAAAAGTAAAAAACAGAAGCCATCAAGAGTTTTGTACTCAAGTTCTGAAAGTTCAGATGAAGAAATTCTTCAGGACAAAAAGATTGTCTCTCCTTGTTCTATCTCAGAAACTTCGAACTCTGATGTAAGAATGAAAAAAGAATATATTGTTTCAAGTGAACACAAACAAAAAGGGAAAGTTAAAAGGAAATTAAAAAATCAGAGTAAAAATAAAGAAAATCAAGAACTAAAGCAAGAAAAAGAAAATGCTAGAGTAACAAACCTAGCTAGTCCTGGATTAGATTCTTTAGATAAAGCCAGAGAGGAGGAAACTTTTAAAAAGTCTTTCAGCCCAAAAGAAGATTCTTCATTACACTTGTTTCATATCTCTGCTGGAAAATCTCCCAAGCATCCCTGTGGATTAAGTGAAAAGCAGTCAACACCACTAAAGCAAGAAAACACTAAAACATGCTTATCACCAGGAGGTTCTGAAATAACATTACAGTCCGAGTTAGTTCGGTATGATCATAATACAGATTCTGAATACCTAATGGAAAGTTCTAGTGGAAAATCTTGCAAACATAAAGAAAAAAGCAAACATCATCAGAAAGAGTTTCAATTAGATTTTGGAGAAAAATCTAGTCCTAAAATTAAAGATGAAGATAATAGTCCAACATTTGAAAATTCAGACTGTATGCTGAAAAAAATTGATAAGGAAGGCAAAGCTCTTAAAAAGCATAAGCTGAAGCATAAAGAAAGAGAAAAGGACAAACACAAAAAAGAACAAGAGGGGGAAAAGGAGAAACATAAGCACAAAGATAATGCTAAAGAGGTCCAAAGAAATATTGAATTTGATAGAGAATTTTGGAAAGAGAATTTTTTTAAAAGTGATGAAACTGAAGATATATTGTTAAACACAGAACATGAATCTCAGTCCTCAGACAGAAAATCCAAGTTGGAAAAAACTACAGCAAAAGAAGATAAATTAGGAAAAGAGAGACACTTCCAGAAAGAGAGAAGTTTAAAGGAGGAGAAAGAGAGAGAAAAAAACAAAAAGGAAAATGAGAGATTATTTAAAGAAGAAAAAATCAAAGATATAAAAGAAGAAAGAGAAGTCATGTTCACAGATAAAGAAACAGAACTGCTGTGCTTAAGTACAGGTCTTAAAGATGAGCCAACTAGCACACATCTAGTAGAAAAAGAAGTGGATACTGAAAAGCAGGAAAAAAACTTTAAGGAAAATAAAGAGAAAGTTGAAAAGCGAGCCTTGGTTAAAGAAAAAGACACTGAGAAGATAGAAAGAAAAAATGTAGATAAAGAAAAAAAGATAAAACATGACTATAAGCCAGAAAAAGAGAGAACAGAACTAAATGAATGTATAGAAAAAGCAAAGGAAAAACCATATTCCCAGCAAGTGGACAAATGCCATAAAGAAAATGATAAGATAAAAAGTTTTGGTACTGTTAAAAAGCTTGATGAAAAAGAAAGAAGCAAAGAAAAACTTGATAAAAAATATGATAAAGAAAAGATTGAAAGCAAAGAAAAACACTGCATAGAGAGAAAAGTCAAACAATCAGAAAAAGATGGTGAATATGGTAAACCAGAAAAAGGTAAAAATAAAGACAGAGAGCTTGAAAAAAAGGAAAAATCCAGAGATAAAGATGGCTTTGCTGTAGCCAGCTCTAAGCACTTGCAAGATGAAAGGCGATGTAATACTACAGAAAGTAGTAAGGTAATGCATGAAAAATTTCTGTCCTTGAAAGAGAAAGTAAAAGATGAATTGCTGAAAACTCCAGATGGGAGAGAGAAAGATAAGAAGGATAAAGATATAGATCGATACAAAGAACGAGACAAGCATAAAGATAAAACTCAGCAAAATAATTTACTTAAACTGAAACTTGAACCTGAGAAACCTAAACCTAAATCATCACCTGCACCAAAGGATACTCGACCTAAGGAAAAACGATTAGTAAATGATGATTTAATGCAAACTAGTTTTGAAAGAATGCTTAGCCTTAAAGATCTGGAAATTGAACAGTGGCATAGGAAGCATAAAGAAAAAATCAAACAAAAGGAGAAGGAAAGATTAAGGAATCGGTCCTCTTTAGAACTTAACAAGATAAAAGATAAAGAGAGAACAAAACATTCGGTAACTGACTCAAAAAACAAAGAGCTGATTCGTTCAAAAAGCTCAGAGCTGTCAGACGTTTACATGAAAGAAAAGCAGCTGAAAGATGCTACAAGTGGTAGATCACAGTCTGTGGACACAAAGAACTTAAACACTGGAAAGTTGTCGTTAGTTTTAGACAGTAACTTAAACAGATCCCCTAAATCAGAAAGTGAAAAGACAGGTCTAAGCTCCAGATCAGTGTCCATGATTTCAGTTGCTAGTTCAGAAGATTCATGCCATACTATAGTAACTACTCCAAGACCTGTAGTTGAATATGATTCAGATTTCATGCTTGAAGGTTCTGATTCCCAAATGTCCTTTACACAATCACCGTTTTTGGTTAGTGCCAAATCACCAGCCCTCCTTGAAAGAGAGGCCGATAGCCTTGCAGAGTTGCCAGACCGCATTAAGCCACCTTTTGCAAATAGACTTCCACCAGCCTATATTAGATCAGCTTCTGTTGAAGATGTTAAACTGGTTTTAAGTGACTGTAGACCTGTTGTAGAAGTACGAAGGTGTAGTATGCCTGCTGTTATTCCTGAACATACAAAACAGCCTAGAATGTCTGAAGAAAATAATCAGAATGTTCTGTTAGCAGCGCCAAGTCATGTTTGCAGTTCCCCCAAACATGAAATACCTTCTAGTTTACCTGAAAGGGATTTTCCAAATAGTACATCTAATTTGCATTCCAGTTTTGCATCTTCTCCATCTAGAAGTGGTTGCAACAAGCATGTTACATCAGATATAAATATTATTAAACCTACTGCTCAGATGAGCCCTTCAGAAGAAAATAATGTGCATTTAGAGCTGTGTAATCAGAGTAGTATGACTCAGCAACCTAAACCATGGGATGTGCCTTTTGACAGACTTAATTCTTTAAACAATGAGTTTAACTGCTCAAGTTACAGGGTGTCAGAACAAGATAGTGTTGCAGCATTGCATAATTCTGAAAACAGGACCGTTAAAGAGCAGAAATTGTCTGACTTTTTACCTCAACATGCTGAAATTATGGGAAGTTCCAGTTTTCAGGAATCTGCATCATTTTTGCCTTCACAGTCACCCAGCTCTTTGCATATCCAGCCACCTCCAGATACAGAGTGTCCATCCAAAAATACATCTTTACTAGGTATTAGCAATCAAGAGCCAATGTTTGTGCAACAGCAACAAAACATAATTCAGATAACCAATTCTGCTTTGGATACAGACACTAGTAGTACAGAAGAGACTGAAAATACCTTATTCCCCTCAAATATTAAAAAGGCTGATATACATATAAATGTATATCCTGAGAGCTCCACAAGGAGTGTTTCACAGAATTTTGAAAGAGCAAATACTCTCTGTGTGTTGTTGTCTGAAAAGGATGTTACTACAAATACTGGTTCACAATTAAATGCAAATTCATATACCTTCAATAAGCTTGTTTACAAGAATTCTCAAGCTGATGAAGTGGATAGTAGCACAGCTGAATCTCAAGAAATCAGAAATGAAAAGGTCCAACAAGAAAATTTTGTTTCAACTCATGAGGTTAATAATAGAACTGACATTGATCTATGTGAATTAAATACAGGCATACCAAAAGGAATTATGAATGAATCTGCTAATAAAAAAAATTGCTCTGTAGATAGTGGAGAAATTATTTTGGCAGATGATCTACCACAGTACCCTTTATCTCATTCGGAAAATGGTTCACAACACGCTGCCCAGGAAGATGTGCATAAATACAATGAAACAGTTAAGCTAGAAGCAGAAGAAACTGAGGATCATAAGGCAGAGCAGCAAGAAGTTCCTCAAAGAATTACTAGAAATAGAGCAAATATGCTTGCTAACCAGAGTAAGCAAAATCTTGTTGGCTGTCCACAAACATCAGAAAAAGAATCTGAATCGTCTGCATCTCTGAAAGGAAGGATAAGATTAACCGAGGAAGACGATGCTCAGGTCCACCATCCACGTAAAAGAAAAGTGTCACGTGTTCCTCAGCCTGTACAAGTGAATCCCTCTTTACTTCAAGCTAAAGAGAAAACACAGCAATCTCTGGCAGCTGTTGTAGATTCCCTGAAACTTGAAGAGATTCAGCCATACAGTTCGGAGAGAGCAAATCCATATTTTGAATATTTACACATAAGGAAAAAGATAGAAGAAAAGCGTAAACTATTATGTAGTGTTATCCCTCAGGCACCTCAGTATTATGATGAATATGTGACATTCAACGGATCATACTTACTGGATGGCAATCCCTTGAGCAAGATATGCATTCCAACTGTAAGTAATAAGGTCTTTCTGTGTACAATACAATGGATGACATGTTTTCAGTTTGCTTTATTATAACATTCATATTCTTCCCATTCAGTTGAAGGCTTCTGAATATTTTACCCCTAGTTTTGGTACGTTGGGCAGAGTCTGCATGCTGAAAGACGCACACTGACTAGTGTTGTACTAATGTTGACTAGTGTGAGTTCATATAAGTTTTGCATGCTTTCACTTTACACCAGTCAGGAGCAGTAGGTATCATAATCATCATTATAGAAGACAAGCAGTAATATGTGAAAGATGTATAGTATAAAAGATAAATAAGCAAATGTTTTTCATGCAGTTGAAAGTGTTCTGTAATATAAAAGCCCTTCTTGAAAATTTATTTTAGCAGAGATCTCATTTACTTTTTCAGGTACCTCTGTATTCCTACTCTTGGTACAGTTGACCTCACAATGATGTTGTAGGAAGTTGATTCAGAATTGTAATTTTGGGGGCAAGGGGATACATGTGGATTTCTCTGAAGTGTCATGTTCAGCACCTAAGGGTGCCTATACATATGCCTAAGGGTGGGGAGGGGCCATTTGAATGTGTGGTTCCCTGATGGCTGCTCTGATTAGAACAGTCACATGTATTAACCCCCCACATTTTAAAACAGCCACAGGGAGCAGTTTAAAACTCATTTGATGAGCTTTAATTAAAGCACCCCTGTGGGGATTTAAAAATGGTGGGGGGGGGCTTAATACACATGATGGTGAGGCAACCCAGAGTCTGTTCTGACATGTTCTAAATAGTACGTAAACCGACACACCTGTAGGCAGCCTAAGTCTCTAGAAGGAAGTACACATCTTGACCATCTCATTTCTTTTCCTATTACAAGGAGAGCAGAAGCCGCACTATACTGTGTGCTTGTTTTCCTAGTTAGGCTTAACTAGCCCAATTTGTAGTCAATTCTTTTTTTGCATTTTTGTGTAGGTAATATAGAAGTGTCAGAGCTTGGCTTCAGTAATGGCATTCGCCTATGCCAGAGCCATGAAAGGGCGTCAAGAAATTCCCCAAATTTCTGGCACTTCCCACATACATTGCTTTATTTTTTTTATTTTCTTTTTCCCCTGGGAAAAGTATTTCCTGACCTAGTATGCCTAAGGCAATTATCCCACAGATCTGCTGTGGCTCTCAACTGATAAGGGGGAGTGGGGTGTCTGAAGGCCGCTAAGCCTCCAGAAGATCACAGTTCTGTGCATTATTGGAAAAATCTTTTTCATGCAACAAAACAATTTAGTGGGCTGACACATCTGCTCCAGAAGCAGCACTGGCATTGGTATTGCGCTCCAGTGTGGGGTCTGTAACAGCTTTACCACATGGAGAGGAATCAGAGAAGATTTAATACAATGCTTTCAACAGCAGCGTCTGTCTGGTAAAGTCCCTCCTAGGTCCCTTAAGAGGACACATGTATGCCTCAGTTTTTTCCATGAAGAAGAACCTGAACTAGAGACAGAGCAGGTGACCACTAGGTCTGTTGAAAAGTCAGTGCAAGCTTCTTCTCTTTACTGTTTTTAGCACGATTCTGCACTGATTGTTGTCCCTTCTAAGGAGAAGAATATAAATCTTGGTTTGGCACTAAAGACCTCAAAGACCCCCTGAAGTGATATGCTCAAAAGTAGAAGATATTTTTCATCTGACTCAAGGGAAAGCATCTTATTCCTTTCACAACAGGGATCTCTGGTAAATTGCACTTCTTTCTGTTTCTGAAAATCTCATTCTGGCATCCTTAAAAATCGATCTAGCTATCATTCTCACATTCTACAGCAGAGTTTCTCAACTTTTTAGCCTTAAGGTACCTCTTCATAACTTTTTTTTAAATTTAATGGCATCCCTGTTGAAAAATCACTAAACTTAGAATCTAAATTCAGAAAGGATTGGGTGGGAATTCATGTTGGCAATGAAAGAAGAAAGAGGGGTTATTCATTGGCAACTTCCGTGTTCTTCATGAGTTGCGGAGATGTATTTATCCTTCCTGCCCACCTTTCCCTCTGCCTTGGGAGTTCTCTGTGTAATTCAGACCATGTGGTCCAGGAAAATAAACAGAGGCAAGTAATGGGTACACTTTCTTGAGTAGCTTTTTAGATCCAAGGTTTTGATGACTCACTGGGCGTATGAATATCCTTTCCCCGCAGACACAGCTTGGAAAGTTCTCTGAAGATGGAGACAATTTTTGAAGATCAGTAGTTACTGATGGATGACTTCCATTATTTAATCCAGGATACTCCTTGTTCCATTTTAGACCCAGTTATTTGATTTAGGTTATTTCTATCTTGTTAATTTACCACTGCTGGAGAAAAAGCAGGTACAGTTCCTTGTTGATATTGTCAGAAGACGTGAAAGAATACATGTGGAGTAGATCTGCCCATGGCATCCAGTCTGCAGCAGTGCCTACAGTTTCAGCTTCTGGCTAACAGTTCAGCTCTGAAAGTTAAAACTGAAGCTGTTCCCTGAGTAGGAAAGGCATGGCTTAATGAGCTGAAGATTAGGCTCTTCTGTATCTGATCATAATTAAAAAAAATATATATATATACTTTTTTTTTAATTCATTCTGCTATCCCAAAAACAAGGTGCATGTCTTATATGGGAGCATGTGGTATGCGAAAAAATATTGTAGCTATTGGTAATAGAGTCCTTTCTGCTGTTCAGGCATCTTCTCCTTGGCAACAAAAAGTTCAACTGGGCCCATCCCTATTTCCACAAAGAAGCTCCCAGTCTGTACGGGATTCCTCACACTAGAGACATAGATCTTGTAAGGTAGGAAACATGATAATGAGCAGTTGGCTTTCCAAATTCTGCCCCAATCTCGTAAGACTTCTCAGTTTATCTTTCAGTAAGACTTGGATGGAGAAAAGTTGAGTTTGTAGGAGTCTCTGTCTGCTAGTGGGCTCACTTGCTGCTGAACTAGGCCTCATGTAGAAGGCTGTACTTTTATTCTTGTAGTCTTCTGAATCTGTCCCAATAGGATAGGGACAGGCACAGGAACTCCCACTGTTAACCCACCACACATTTTCCTTCCCTTTTTCAGAACCTTAATACTTCAAGAGATTTTATTCATAGCATCTAACCTGGATGAGCCCTTTCCCAGTTCTAAGGAATGGGACTATTCACTGGACAGAGATGGCGATGAAAATCCAGGCTCTGTTGAGACCATACTTAACATAATCCAGCCTCTAGATGATTAAAACTTACCTTGTATATGAAATTGTGGAACAAAAAATCCATCCACAGACTGGATTGTATTAAGTGTGGTCTCAACAGAGACTGGATTCTTGTCCCATTACCTGGATTTATTTTCCCAGCTGTTTCAGTGGGAAGGGGACAATTCAAGACAAAACTCCAATAATTAGAATAAATATGGGGAATCAAGTAGTCCCTTTGCCCTATGCCACCCCAACTTCTTCCCCCTGCTGAGTGGTCCTCCCCCACTTTTACTGTCAGACCCTGCTTTCCCTGAGCACATGGAAGTGAGGAGCAAACTTGAAAAAAATGTCTTTGAAATAAATATAGCTATAGCAATTTATATATAATAAAAGTGGACTTAGTTAATCTACAATTAATGCATTTTACCTTTTTTTAAAAACTGTTCCAAGTTTTAGCACAGGTACTCTATAAGCACACTTTTAAGCAGCACTTTAGCACCTACGTATATATAATACTAACTGCATGATATTAGTCCAAAGCCAAAAGATTCATGTTTTACCATATAGTTCATTGGGCTGAGCCCCAGCAGAGTCAACAGTGTTTCAAGCTATGGTGATTCCACAGCTCAGCACTGGTTAGTATGTGCATGTACTCCAAATATCCTCCCCCACCAAAAAATAGATTGTGCTAATTAGCCCCCTCATCGTGACTGAAACCAGGTGTTCTTGCTAGAAGTCCTAGGATCCTCCAAAAACTTGTGTGTAGATCTGGCTTCACCTCATGGAGGGCAGGACCATAGTAATCATATGGAATATGCTGAGAGAGTGCGTGATAGGGGTTCTAGGAGAATTGTTTTGGGGCCCTGTTTGGTGATGGTTGCCAGATATTCAAGACTGATGGAGAAACAGGAGTCATTGAAATATGATAGAAAAGCATAGATCATTTGTGGGAGTGAAGAGGAAGTCAAAATCTATGCAGTGTGGTGGCTCACCATGACTTGAAAAGAGTTGCCACTGAGGGGGGCTGAATGCAGTGGGAACTTCTATGTTATTTATTCAGATGGGTTGCACTCACACAATTTATGGTGCTGGGCTGGGGCAGTGGACAAGCCACATCTGCAAACTGGCAACCAGTTCAGAAACAAAAATAGACTGCTTTGTCAAATACTACGCAGGGCATCTGCTGAGACAGTGGCACGTATACATACTGCCCAACAGGAGACCATGGAGCAGTTATGGTTTTACAAAGTCTTGGACATTTTCTGGAGTAAGTATGACCTGTTCAAAGTATGACCTGTTCAAACCTGCCACCATAACCAGGTACCGGAAGTTGCAGAAGGCTGTCAGAGACAACGACAGACTGTTGACCATGGACCTGCTTCCTGGTGATGGCTGCCAGGTCATGTGGGTGTGAATCTTCCACGAGGGCCTACTGAAAGACCACAAAGACTTGAACTGGCAAGTAGTCCACCAGGCATTCCCCATGCAGGCTCTGAGATGCAGAGAAGCCAATCCAACTGCCCCAAGGAAACCTGCCCCTGGAAAGCAGATACCATTGACCATCTCTTATGGTTCTGCATGTACAGCAAGGCAGCGTGGGAAAAAGTAAACCAGCTCCACTGGGTGGTGACTGGTCAAAACCATGACCAGAGAGGCAGCGCTGTATGGTCATCTGACCAAAGAATAGGTGTATCCATCATTACACCTTAGTCGGTTTGTCTCCTGGGTCAAGAGGACCCCATGGAAGATCAGGAATGCGCTGAAGTACTGGTGCACAAAGCTCTCTGTCGAAGACTGTGTTAAAATGGGACTGAGCAAGCTGCAGAC